TTTTTCTAATATGTTAATGAAACGCTAAAGCTTTCGCGCTACGCGCGGGAGGGGGAAACTTCATTCAGACAAGGATTAAGAGTCGAGAACGTTACGACGAATCGTCTTCTATCTCTAATAGTTTAATAAAACGTCAAAGCTTCCGCGCTTTGCGCGATTGGGGGAAACTGAATTCAGACAATTAAGGATTAAGAGTCAAGAATACTACACTGAATCGTCTGCTTTCTATAATAATTTAATGAAACGTGAAATTTTCCACGCTTTGCGTGGAAGGGTGGAATCTTCATTCAGACAAGGATTAAGAGTCGAGAACGTTACGACGAATCGTCTTCTATCTCTAATAGTTTAATAAAACGTCAAAACTTCCGCGCGGGAGGGGGTAAACTGAATTCAGACAAAGATTAGGAGTCAAGAACGGTACAACGAATCGTCCTTTTTCTCTACTATGTTAATGAAACTCCAAAGCTTTCGCGCGAAGCGCGATAGAGGAAATCTGGATGCGGACAATTAGGGCTGATTAAGAATCGAAAACGGTACAACGAATTGTCTTCATTGTCTAATAATAAATACTACAAATTTAATGAAACGTCTAAGCTTCCGTGCTTCGCGGGAGGGGGGAAACTTCATTCAGACAAGGATTAAGAGTCGAGAACAGTAGAACAGATCGTCTGCTTTTTCTAATAATTTAAGGAAACGTCAAAGCTTCCGCGTTTCGCGCGATTGGGGGAAACTGAATTCAGACAATTAAGGATTAAGAGTCAAGAATACTACACTGAATCGTCTGCTTTCTATAATAATTTAATGAAACATGAAATTTTCCGCGCTTCGCGTGGAAGGGTGGAATCTTCATTCAGATAAGGATTAAGAGACGAGAACAGTACCAAGAATCGCTTTCTCTCATAATTTAATGAAACGTCAGAGCTTCCGCGCTTCGCGCGATTGGGGTTAACTGAATTCATACAAGGGTTTAGAGTCGAGAGCAGTACAACGAATCGTCTTCTTTCTCTCATAATTTAATAAAACATCAAAGCTTCCACGCTTCGCGCGATTGGGGGAAACCGATTTCAGACAATTAAGGATTAAGATTCGAGAATACTACACAGAAGCGTCTGCTTTCTATAATAATTCAATGAAACGTCAAAGCTTCCGCGCTTCGCGCGGAAGGGTGGAATCTATAAAGTCAGATAAGGATTAAGAGTCGAGAACACTACAACTAATCGTCTGCTTCTCTCATAATTCAATGAAACGTCAAAGCTTCGCGCGGGAGGGCCCTTTGCGCGCTCTTTAAGTGATTCGCTTCTCACTACCCCCTCCCCCTAAAATAGGATCCAAACTAGATCTACGCGCCTGCATTTAAATATATAGGTCTAGTCTAGATCTAGCTATGATACTGACTAAGTTAACGAAATAATTCTTATATTTATGTCAAGGAAAATGACAATTTGCGCATACGCAAGTAGATCTAGATCTACTATAGATCTAGATTCTAGATAGACTAGATCTTGAATCTTGAATCTTGAATCTTGAATTTGTTGCACCCAAAAAGCTACGTTGACAGCTGTCCAGGGTGGACTAGAGTCTAGATCTAGATCTAGATCTAGTTCATAGAAAAAATAATTTAGCCTTCGGCCCCGGGTTGATACTAGTATTGATAGGGTTAAATTTGTAGACACAGGGACATTATTACATTTTGTCGGTAATTGGTGGCTAGTTTTGTCGGTAATCGGTGGTCTCTAACTTACACCCCCCCCCCCCCCCCCCCACTGAAAAAGGTCTAGCGACGCCCCTGACTGCGGCACACCCCCAACAACAAATAATTTGAGTAGACTCTACCCACCCCCGCCCCGGATAGATCTAGGCGGTACTACTACTAGCCTAGATCTAGTAGTAGATCTAACTTAGATCTAGACCTAGGTCTAGACCTAGATGATACTTGATAGATCTATCTAGACTAGACCTAGTAGGGTCTAGATCTAGTATAGTAGAGTCTAGATCAGCTAGATCTATAGAGTCTAGACCCCTACTAGATCTAGATTTTACTAGTAGACTACTAGACTCTTCTACTTCTAGATTCTAACTGTTAGACCTCTAAATTGGAGAATTTTTTTTTGCCAAGCCAAGGCCCAAGACGTACTAGATCTAGTATGAGAATCACACAGGGTCGACTCTCTATGCTTTGCTGGAGTGAATCTAGAGTCTAGATCTAGTCTAGACTTTTCTACTCTAAAGTCAATTGGCTACCACTCTCATGAGTGTCTCAGCCCCATATATGCAGGACTAGTAGTACGGTAATAGAAGTAGTCTATGAATATGATTAACAGAAAAGAATAAAATATCCACATATAGACCCTATAGGCCTACCTGAAGTTCAGACAACCGTCCCGACTTGCATGCTGCTATAGCCTGCATACCGTACCGTACCGGCGCGGGAAGCTTGGGCGGCAACGCCTGGGCTACATTCGTGGAGGTCCTAGTAACATCTTGATCTGCTGTGTAGCGGTGTAGTTAGGAGACACCTTTTGCTATATATTACGGTGCAAGGGAGACAATTTTATCGGCAAATATATGTATATATTACTGCGCATGTGCGAAGATCGCGATATCGCATTGGAATAAACTACCTTAAAAAAGAGGGTGCTTTTCACACCATAACGGATATATATTTTTCTTTAAAAAAATAATGAGCAAGATGCACATTATTACGTTGTTAGAATCACATCTGATCTTAGAAATGAATATCCCACACATATACGATTGAGAAAGCGAGATATATCCCATAAACTTTGTGTCTCTCAAATGCACTGTTATATCAACGCCGAGTATACACCCCCATATTTGAAAGGGTTTCTATTTTAAGTTGATGTACCCTTGTATCAAATGGACGGTGCGAACATTGAGCTACAATGTTAACATGAATATTCATGAAGCATTTTGGACACCGTTCCTTGTAAAACTGCATGTATGGGGTGTTGAAACGTAAAGGAGACACGAAAATGTCTCCCTAATCTGGGTGTCTCCTATAAGTAGGTATAATAACACCGGAATGTCTCCCAAATGTCAGATCTTTATATATATATATATATATCTATATATGGTCTTTTGGATGTGTAAATAGGCGTATCAGGACAATAAACCTCTGGACAATCACCCCCGGAATATTACCCCCTGGAAAATTAGCCCCTCCCCCTCCCGCAACCCCAAGCAATTACTGCCAAGAAAATTACCCCTTGGACAATTCCCCCCCCCCCCGAGAATAACCAAGGACAATAATCCCGAGAAAAATTACCCCCCCCCCCCAAAAAAAAAAAAGAACAACTACCCCCCCCCCCCAGGACAACCAAGGAAAACCACCCCGATGACAATCCCCCCCCCCCCCCGAAAATTACTCCTCCCCCTATTCATTAAAGGGGGAATCTACCCTCAGGGGTGGAGGTGACTGTCCTCGAGGGAATTTTCTTAGGGGGGTAATTTTCATAAGGGGTAATTTTCCGAGGGGTAATTGTCTTCGGGGGTGATTGCCCTCGGGGGGGGGGGGAATTTCCAGGGGGAATTACCCGGGGGGGGGGGTAATTGTCCTTGGAGGGTAATTGTCCCGCTGGTAATCGGCCGGAGGTGATTGCCCAGGGGGTGATTGCCTGTAAACTGTAAATGGGCCTACCAAACGTCTATTTTTGCACGCGTTCAAAGTTGAATTAGACTGCGCACCTCTCTTCCTTGCACGTACCCATTGTCTGCATTGTTTTAAAACTCACGCTGTATGCTAACACGGAAACTGTCAACTGATAACTTAAAGGTGGGGTGACATCCAAATATAAGTTGATTCCTGTTGACGGGCAGGGCTGCATACAACTCATATTTTGTTATTCAAACATCTAAATATATTTCATTAATTTTTGAATATTTGTTAAACAATTTTCTCAGACCCTCAAAGCTCCACCCTAAAAAAATGTTCCAGATCTCATTCATCTCGTGACATCATCTGTCAATCATCAATAAGCTTACAAGAGACAGTGGTATGAAGCCTCACCAGATCTGACCACCTGTTTACAATATACCATACAATACCAACATATGAGTTGATATCCCTGGTCAGACTTCTTGGTCAGACGTGCTGTAGCATCACCAGGAAAAGAAAGGTAATGTGGAGGTATAGTATGAAAGAATGTAATTCTCTTGTGACAATGTGCTGAGCTGGGGGAAGTTACATAATCTCCTTATATTTGGATTTCACCCGAACTTTAAAGCTTATCTGTACTAGTTTACAGGAGGGATTATACCGCCCTGCAAGGTCACTGGACAGGTGGTTATCTCATCAACTCAGCTCTCAGTTAACATAAGAAAAAGAGGATCATGGGGGACCAATGGTCACCGATTAGGCATTGTTTGTTATATAGAGGGCGCAAGTGGCTACAAGTAGTGCAGTGGGCCTTTAAGGGTCGTTCAGATTTGGCGCAGCTACACTGCGGCGGGTTTTTGTATGATGCCATTAGTGTTATACGCTTTTCATTTCTCTATATTATAGACAGAGCTCAGTAACCACGTGCAAGTCTCTTATTGCGCGCAGTTGCCTTTCATTTAGACGTTAAAAAAGATAATCGCTGCGGTTTTTTTTAACGGTTGACAGCACTATATCCGAACTAGACATGCAATCGTGTCACAACGATGTGCATGCAATGGCGCACGTGTTTCTACGGTTCAAACGAAAAAGCCTCTCTCGGACTTCCCAGAGCAATGCGTAAGAAGTTCTGTGATAGTGGCGCCTGGACGGTTATGCATGAGTGATTTCGAAAATCGAAGAATGTAGTGACCTTGATGAGATGCTAGAGACTATGCCTATGAAATTTGAAAGGAAACGGACACAAGGAAAGGGCATAACTAGTGATAACAAGCACTACGTGCACAACGAATGCGATTTGCTGACGAAAAGAAGGAAATATTGAGGCAATGACGATATTCGTCATTGCAACAAGCCTTTAACCGAGGCGACGGTGGTGTATTACCATGTGTTACATTCAATATCGACTGTTTCTCCTGTTTCATGATGATGTCCCTCATGAACACAAAAACATCCCGCTTTTGGGACACATACCCCAATGTCCTCATTCCAGTAATGATCTGTAACAAATAAAATAGATAAATAAGCACAGATTTATTACATTATTTATTTCGAATTTAGGACAGTTTTAAGACGTGGATAGTGCCTGGTCTTACCCTAAATGGAATTAGGAGCTGATCCATACTGTGATTGCTGCGGAACCGAGACCATCAACCATGTATACACTCCAGTTGCCACATTTACCAGGATCCCCGAGCAAATTTAAGGTTTTATTGTGAGACAAACTGTCTGGAATCGATCGGAAAAGGTAAGCCTAAATGAGAATACTGCAACGGTTTTTTTTTTCTTTTAAAATTTTAAAAGACACTGCCTTAGTAGTTTTAAAGAATGATACTGAAACAGTAATATCCTCATGTTTCACATCACTATCATCTCGCTACTGTCTCCCGCTCACCCACCCCCCCCCCCCCCAAAAAAAAAAATCCCCACCGTTCCCCTCTTCAAACCAAGAGTCAAGCAATGTGGAGGGCTTAAAGAAGATTAAGAGTTCTTGCATTAATTTTCTAATTGTGCCTCGCGATAATTGATGGGGTTTAGTCCCCCCCCCCCCCCAAAAAAAAAAAAGTAATAATAATAATTATTATTATTATCATTTTAACAAATTAAAAAATATAAAATATTAAAGAGATGAATATTTTGTTTAAACAAGATAAAATTAAAGAATTCAATCTAAAAACCGAAACTGCCCTCACCCCCATCTTCCCCCCCCCCCGCCCCCCTTTAAAAAAAACCCTCTCCACATGAAAGAATTACCTACCACTCCGGCAATGGCATCCGTCAAAGCCTCCTTCTTCGGAGCAAGTTCTAGTCAGATATGTCTTATCGCATGTCATTGGACAAAGACTACCACTTTCTGCAAACACCTCGCTATTTGGACAGGAAACAACTGCGATAGACACAAAGAATCGTATAATTCACAGGCCCGCAACTCAGGAGGGTGCGACAAGGGGTACGCTAATAAAAACTAACAAAATATCCTGTTATCGAATACTGATGGAAAGGAATTACTAGTGGAATAAAACATTGCTTGGTTCGTGATGTGCCATACTGCCCCCCCATATGGAAACGTTGTATCATCCGCTCAATCTGACTTGCGTGCATAGAACAAATAAGCATTTTTCCATGAAAAAGTGAAGTTTTCTGAAATGTGCGTTTCTTTCCAGCATTGGGGCGCCCGGAAGTCACTCGGGTAACATTTCATAAAGTATAATATAAAAAGACCATATGCAAATTTTCTGTACTTTCGTCGGAAAAAATACATTTATCCAGCACAATATCGTCTCCTTTTGCGTTGGAGCAGGAAGCTGTAATGAATGGAGATACCGTCTCGAAAGAATTTTCCGAGGGGAAAATATTCAAGATTAACCTGGCTTAACAAAAAGAAATGTAACCCTCTCCAACCATCATTTCCATCAACAGCAGTCCATATCAATGCACAGTCCCTCTCTGGAATTCCAAATAGTACGAAATGTTACGCAACGCCATCTGCTTCCATAAGTTCTCTATTCACTCTTTTGCAAATATATGCAAGCACCGAGCTTTGAAGCCATGCGTAGCACCGAAAAATTAAGTCATGTTCAGTGAAGATGTATTTAGCTATAACATATAAAAGACAGAATTAACAACATAAGACCAGTGCAACTTTATATTAGTCATCAAGTGCTTTTTCTGTTCTCGGATAGCTCTACTGAAGACATGGCCATTTCAACCAGCGAAATCGACCAAGGAAATCGTGAGTTAGAGCGAATGAAAGGGTTTCATCATCATGATTTTCTCATCTAATTATTGACATTTTCCGAAAATTTCCGAAATTTGTACATAGCTAGTAAGGTAGTCTAAAGGTTTATCTTCCTAAATAACTAATTGAAATTGTGTTGTATGTTTGCGCATTTATTGATTGAGGGCTAGAAGTTGTCAAGTTATCACCACTATTCACCCCAAATACGGGCCCACAAAGCAAAAGCCGCCGTGCTCGCTGGGCTGGGCTGTGTGTGGAAAGGGAGGACCTAGTGCTACTAGGGAGCTGTACGGTTTCGGAGGGGGATTAAGGGATTACGGTAGGGAAAACAAAAGACGCGCGGTGCCACGGATGGCTTCAAAGGGGCCTCTTGGACGGGATCTCCATTCATTACAGCTTCCTGGTTGGAGAATAACGAATAGTGAGTTTCAATCACACTTTGGCCGCTCTCGCAAGCTCTCACTCGTTATACTGTGGTCAAGCGACTTTGGGGCAAGCGGTTAATGAAAATACTAATCGTTAGCTTTCTTCTGGTATTAAACTTGTTTTGATTGATTGTATAATTATGTCGGAATAACTGAGGAAACAAAAAGGCTCGACCAATAACTTATCAGCGTCTGAATTGACCTTTTGACCTTGAATTCCCTGATGCAAGCGCACTAATGAGGTCATCTTCGCTAAATCGGTGTCTTTTATCGTAAAATGCGACACTTTCACAATGTTTATACATCTTTTTTAATTATTAGTAAGATATAACATATTTGTTCTGATATCACTGAAGTTTTGGGTTTTATTTAATGAGTAATTTTAAAATAAGAGCCATTTTACTGTTTTGATTTACTGGATCGTACCATTAAAGTCGCAGGGTAGAAAGATGCATTTCCAACCGCCCCAAATTTAATTTACGCTCCGACATTATGTTAAATGGGTTCGTGATGTTAAGAATCCACTGCTTTCTGCTCCAACAAACGTTCACAGTCATGCATGCGGAGTCGTTTATCAACTAAATTATTCAAATTTATGGATGCTTCCTAGCTTCCCAGGTGTTTGTGTTGCTGTTGAAGCATTTTATTCACCTGCTATCATTCTTTGTACTCCAATTGCCAGAACGCAAATTTCATTTTGGTTTTATAGTTTCATCGGAGTCGTTTATCAACTATATGTATTCAAATTTATGAATGCTTCCTCCCCAGGTGTTTGTGATGTTTAATGCATTTCATTCACCTGTTAAAATTCTTTGTACTCCAATTGTTAGAATACAAAATGCATCTTGGTTTTATAGTTTCATGCAATAAGTAAGTCAATAAAAGAGCATGTTCTGCACAATAAAAACAATGTGTGTCCCTATTGTACAATGTGGTGTGTCCCCTCATTTTGATTGATGTATGTTCGAACAAAAAATCCGCCAACACAGACAAGCATGACAAAGCCATCAACATTTCATAAAGCACTTTGTAGAATAACATGTGTTCGAGGGCCTCCTGAGATAAATTTTAATTTACCTCAGGCTCTTCATTATCGTCCTAAAGTTTTCTCAGCTTGCCACTATTAAAAATTTAAAACCCAATGTGGGTAATAATAACTAAACTAACTCTATGCTGTTGTTCCTGAAAAAATGCTCACCCTCAATTTTCCTACTCTAACTTAAAGGGATCGCTTAACAATGTTAAATCTGAGACACACGGCCCTACATTCTATCCGTGCCTGTGATATGGTGTAATATTGAAGCCCTAAAAAAAATAGCGCCTTAAAATGGTCAAGAAGTGCCTCAAAAAAGTAAAAATCTTTGAATCACTGGTTTTACATATACCATACTCGTTTTCCCAAATAGACTGTAGTGTTATTAAAACCGTTTGGCAAACTGTTTTCAAAATTTGTAATTCCAATCATAAATATCTTGATAATCAGACAGGCGATCGGCTTGTAAATGTCATGGGGTTCCTGACTGACCTAAAGGTTTATAATTATCATTGCAGCATGAGCTAAATCCAGATTTTGTTTCGGAATCTGAGACAAAGTTACCGGATCCCTTTAAACCCTAGACCCAACACTTTACCTAATTCCAACCCTAACACTCACACTATGCTTTCGACGAAATAAAGACCGGAGCAATTGTTGCAGGAGCAAAATGGTCCCTATACTCACTATACTGTATACTGTATTGTGATACCTACCGCATCCATGTTCATTCCGCCAATCTTCAAATACAGACGTTTGGTCGCAGAGGGCGCATATTCGGTAGTACTCTGCAAGTGCCAGACATATCCCGTTATCTATACTATGATTCCTAGGAGTGGCATTCATTTCGATACTGCAAAGCTTTCTGAAAAACTCATGGTCTTCGTTTAGGCCGCAGTCACTGAGTACGATGCTTTTGCATTTGAGTTCGGAGGCGGTGCTAGGAAAGGGCGCCGCCCCACGTCCCTCGCAGAATTCAGTGGCGGTGGCAGTACGGTGCTTGCTCAAATCAGCTACCGACGTGAATGAAGAACCCTCTTCAATTTTGCACAGTCCGTATGTCTACAAATAATATACAGTACAGATGATGCATGCGAACGGGTTCGTTATATTGCATTTACATTGGTAGGAGGTACATGAAAGTATTTCCAGGTGTTGTATTTATATATGATTTCGCCTTTTTTTTTTGTATTTAAAAGTGTTCCGTAGTAGAATAGCGCTAACTATTAAAATAAGATAAATAGAAGGAATTCCCCCTAATTGCACTTTTTGTGATAAAGGGGAAGAAACAGTGTTGCAAATATTTGTGAGTGTGAAATTAATACTAAGGCCAATCTGGGATAAGCGTTTTGGTATTCTTAAAGGGGAAGTCCAGCCTGATATTAATTTGGTTTTGATAGAAGCATTGATATGGGAGAAACGGGTCAGTACAAATTGGCAACACTGTGACGTATCGTGTGAAGTCCTTTTCCATTTGCTCAAGACATAAGATTTATTAACTTCCATTTTCTTCTTTATGATGACGAAATGGATTGTTATCTATGCGTGGGTTGTATAAAACACATTGGCAATAATTATTTTTTAGAGTGCATGTATGATCGAACATTTTATTTGGTTCTATCTTTAGTTAGTATAACATACACTTACTTCACTGATTATAGATTCCGGAACAAATAGATATATCCTCTCACCCACTGCATATTCAATTTTTATTTCTAAAGAGAGAAAAGAAAAAATGCTACATGTGAGTTTTTTGTTGTTGTCTCATTTTAGTTGGAAATTCATAAGGGATCTTTTTGTTCAAACTCTATAATGAGGCCTAGAACATAAGTTTTAAATTTACAGCTTCAAGTTTCATTTAGTACCACAATGCATGTTTATATCAAGGGTTTATTGCTCTTATTATTATTATCATTGTTTACATGCACACTACGTTTAAATAATAAACAAGTTAATTATCAAAATTATTGAAAAATACATCATGATGTAGTAGAAATTAGGCATTCTTCAGTCATTGCAACATTGGCTTAATAATGATTGTCTAAGTATTTCATGCAACATCCAGAATAGTTTCTAGCGGTGTTTTTAATGTTAATTCTAGTTAACTTTAGTTTTCTAGAAGTTAATCGCTTTGGGATTAGATATAATAACAAGGTTTAATTGAAACAGATATTGTTTACCATATATGGACATAGTGACAGACGACAATCATTATTTAGTTCATTTAATAATTACTTTAAAAAATTCCAGTTTCCACGAAATTATTATCATTGTTAACTTTATTTTTATCATTATTATAACAGTTATTATTATTATTATTACACGTATAATTTTGATTATCGAATATTGTTATCATCATCATCAACATAATCATCATCACTATCATTATTACAATGTGTATTATTATGATTATTACATGTATTATGTTAATTATCGATTATTATCATCATCATCATCATCTTCATCGTTGTAATAATCATAATGATTTGATTTTATTAAGATAAAAAAATATGATAGAGGAATAAATGTTGCGAAATTTTAACAAATCTATCAAGTCTCGTTGAAACTAATCTAGTGAAGTCCTGTGAGCCGATATGTTATATTTCAGCAAGAACTTAACGCTGAGTAACAAACCTGAACTGTCTGTGAGGATGTAATAAAAGCCCCTCTTCACCACGCTAGCTTGGGGAAGCATCAAGGGGAGATTGGCTGGGGTTGTGCTTCCATTTAGAAAAACTCCAACCGGGGTCATCCTGATCTCAACGGCCACCTCGCTGTCTTCTATGCCACTTAAATTGAATGGGTATTCATTAAAAACTATATGGTTGGTAAACTGCTGAAAAATTATATAGTACGTAAAAACGCCATGCTAATAAATACAAGGTGAATTCGAATACAATTTTATAGATATATTCATAATTTACGATCTTTTCATTGCCTATTTGTATCGAAATAAGGGGAATTGAGAGAGAGAGAGAAAGAGAGGGGGAGATAGAGAGAGAAAGAGAGAGCGAGAGAGAGAAGTTGAGAGATAAAGAGAAAGAAGAAAAGGCAAGAAAGAGAGAGAGATAATTAGGAAAAGAACGAGAGTGAATGGTAGGCAGGTGGAGGTAGTGATAGAAAGTGAGATAGAGAGAGAGAGGGAGATAGAGATGAAGGAAGAGAAGGATAGTAATTCGACGACAGAAAGAGGAAGAGTAAAAGCAGCAAAAAATAAATATAATTCATATTCAAATCAAACTCATTTTTTCAGTTTAAACCAACAGGAGGCATTTAACCTAAATATATAAAATTATGATAATGAATAAAATTAAGAAATTGAGATTATGAGGGTTTATAAGACGGGTTCTAGAATCTTAACAATCCGATTGGTCAATTGAGATAACGTGGGCGTGCATTTATTTTTCCCACCTTGCAAAACATCTCCCATCAAATATTGATAACGCACGCTCGATATCTGCCGATATCGCTTTTGCGTAATTCATTTTTTTTTTACTTTTGAAGAGTAGCCTAATGTATCCTAGATCTAGTCAGATCTAACTTAGATCTAAATCTAATATATATCTATACTCTAGATCTAGACTATAATTGTGAGAATGTATTGCCGATCCGTCTAGTCGGCTCAGTCTGCCTAACAAACCAAAATAGTGGGTTCGAATCCAATCCAGGCGAATGACTGAAGTCTGCGTTGTATGTTTAAAGTGACTTGGCAACATTGTTGAAGGTTGATGAAAAAATTGCTTAATTTGTGTATAAAATGTTACTTACTATATTCCTTCTACTGTACTAACCCTCTGACATGTAAACAATCCTGAACAAATTCTAAAACCACGATGATATCTATGGTTTTCTTTGAACGACACCCTCTAACAGTTATTAACAATAAATTCTCCCAACCATTTTTGAATTTTCCCAACCGTTTTTCCATGAAAAAGACATAAAACAGGCTATAAAAAATCTGTCAACACTTAAATGTCTGGAATAGAATGTATAGCCATTTTATTGCTTTGTGAGATTTCCATTCACCTAAAATGTAATTAAATTAAATGTGAAATAAAAGTAGTGTAAGCCTAGAGATACACCATTCAAAGGTGACAAAAAGCCCGCATGCAATGGTCCGAAGTTTAGCCTTTTGTTGTTGCTTTATTAAACCTCCTCGGTTCTCCCATACCCATGCTATGAATTCAAGCATCCGAGCACGTCTTCTTCATTACCTGGCTGTTCTATGGTGTCTCTAATGAAATCATAAAAATCAAATTTCGTGCTTGTTCTTGAGCACTATGAGTGCTAAACGAGTAATGTAGTTTTAGTTTTGTAAAATAACTATTGTAGCCCCATGAGCATTTTGAAGAGCGATATGATTACTATTTAAGTTGTTGACAATAAATCAAATTGCGCTTCTGATGTAAAATTCACAATGTAAAAACCGTTTTCAATAGAGAAGAAACAACATCAACCTGTACACTTCCTTATGGGTTTGATGCACATGCAGCTATCATAAGTCCTTTCTTTGGAAAAAAAAGAATTACATTTCAAATTTAATTTGTGTTATGTAATTAAAAGATGAATTAAAAAGTACATAATTTGCAATGAACAACTAGTATTCTACTATGCAGGAGACGTGCTCGGATGCTTGAATTCATAGCATGGGTATGGGAGCACCGAGTAGGTTCAGTAAAGGCCCGGTCACACAGAGGGGACGCATGGGGGACGCACGGCCGGCGCATTGCCAATCGGGAAAAGTCGTGATTCCGACTTTTGTCAGGATTTGGGAGATGCTAGTGAGGTAACGCCGAATGGATAGCGTGTTGCTAGCGCGCTGCGCGTATACAGGGTGTGTGCTCCACGTATTCGTCGCTGTTTTCACGAAGTGACGGTAGTGAAAAAAAAATTGCATTCACTTTGCGTTACGATTTTCCTCACTACCGTCACTTCGTGAAAACAAGGACTATGTCTGGCGCTGATCTAGCGCGCTCTGCGCGTGTCTGGCGTCCTTCTGGCGTGTACATTCATGCGTCGAGCTCCGCGCATACTTTTGAGCATGCTCAAAAATTCCCGACGCACACAGCGAATGACGACGAATGCAAAGCGTTGGTCAAGCGTTGGTCCAGCGCGCTCGACGAACGAGCAACGAATGGTGACGCACGCCTAGCGAACGACAACGCATTGGCAAAAAATTGCAAATTTCCAATGCGCTGGCCGTGCGTTACCCATGCGTCCCCTCTGTGTGACCGGGCCTTAAAGCAACAACAAAAGGCTAAACTTCGGACCATTGCATGCGGGCTTTTTGTCTCCTTTGAATGGTGTATCTCTAGGCTTACACTACATTTATTTCAGAGCAGGAAATCGTTCTAATAACACTCACATGTAGATTATTGCTACTTCGTCTGAGTTCTGGTTATCCAGCAGGATCTCAAAAGAATGAGAATCAGTCAATTCGGACTCTGCCAGGGTGTACAGACATTGATTGGGGTAATATTCGTAGGAATCGCCTCGAAACTGTTTGAAGTGGCGACCCGCCACGATTGAACAAATATCGCTCGGCAAGTCATTTGTTCTAGAATGAAACAAGGAGAGAATGAAGACATGATAATAGTGATCATAATACAATATAACCTACATCTATATTGCGAAAGATACTGAAAATAAACGGATAGAGACTTCGGTGGAAAGCGCTTTATAAGTACAATTTGTATTGTTATTATTATTCTTATTCTTCTTCTTCCTCTTTTTATTATTAGTATTATTATTATTATTGTTATTGTTATTATTATTATTATTAGTAGTAGTAGTAGTAGTATTATTATTATTGTTATTATAATTATTATTATTATTGTTATTATTATTATTATTATTATTATTATTATTATTATTATTGTTATTATTATTATTATTATTATTGTTATTGTTATTATAATTATTATTATTATTATTATTGTTATTGTTATTATTATTATTATTATTATTATTATTATTATTATTATTACTATTATTATTAAATTATTATTATTATTATTATTATTATTATTATTATTAAATTATTATTATTAATGGATTCAAGACCTTTTCCCGTATTTTGATCCACAAAGAAGAACCTTTGGATTGGAGTTCTCTAGGGAATTGTTTTCCTCTAATTATTTGATGTTTCGGCGAGAGAAGAATAAGCAAAAGAAACATTTACAATGACAAATTGCCCTCAACCAAACCATAAACTGGTATTTAGGCCTCAAATTTCATTTGCACGCGTGTGTTACTTTTTTTTGAGGAAATAGGTCACAGAGAACGTCTTTCCTTTAAACAAAATACTTTTGTTCAAATAAGAACCACTGTGCCTATAAAAACCCGTTCGCATTTCTTCGGGAATATTTATTGATACTTACAGAACCTTACCAAATTCATAGAAGTCTGGTTTTCTCCAGGAACACTTCGCAATGTAAAGAACCCTTTGAAAAAACAATTTGTATCGAGGGTGTATGTATTTTTTACGTTAATTTCACGTCCGTTCACGTCCGTTCAACGCCAACATTAGTGTCGAAATATTTAATTACAGGTTGATATTCCGAGTCTTGATGTTATGGTGTTGAACTTGCGCATGCGCATAAGTTAGTGGATTCGAGCAAAATCATTGGACGACAGTTGTCATATGATATGACGTCCTATCGTGCATGCGCATGCGCGAGCTAGCTGTCAAGAATCTCTTCGGGATATCGTTGTTATGGAATTTGTTGTCAAGGTCTGAATATCCTATTTCATCAGCGCAATCATGCCGTTAAGTGTGAAAGTTTGTTCTGCAGACAGAAAAGGTAGAAAATTGTTACCAATAAATCCAACAGACATCGCAGGATTCTTTGAATTGAGCGTTAAATCATTGGTATTGATTTTAACAACAAAATCAGGATTAAATTCTACACACCACTGGTGTTGAAAGAAATGGTGTCGGATTTTTTAACACAAAACTAGAATTGAACTTTAACACCAAGTTGAAATAATGGTGTTAGATTTTAACACCAAAAACGGAATTACTTCAACACCAAGAGTGGAATTGAATTGTTTAATTCCAATCCCTGGTGTTAAATAACACCAGCTGGTGTTTTCCGATATAGATACCGGGATGGTGTTAAAATTAACATCCATGGTGTTAAATTAAACACCCTTGTTTTTGCAGTGTAGTACTCTATTGTAATTCCGATTAGAATCGGTTCGGATTACACAAAACCCCATTGTAATATTTACTAATGCCACTATTTGATGGATAGAGCTACTGACATGAAATAATGTTGATTGTTGGAAAGTCTTTGAAAGCGTGTATAAAGCTAGTGTTATTTTTTTTTGCAGTGTTCCTGCTCGCAGTTAGTCCAGAATCTGGACGGCGTTATTTTATTTCGCGATCGCAATCTCTCCCACCCCCTGCCCGCTGCAAGCCGAAGATGGCGCGATCCACGAATCCGTATATCGATGGTACGCCGGGTATAGCAATAGGCCAGTTTACCAACATAATTATTAAAATGTATGGATGTTTCTTTCCTGGAACTTGGTGACGAGTTATTCCATCAACCTGTCATTAAAGGGAAAGTTGAGTTCTGTTGCGGAGGGCGCTACACAAAATATTTTGTTGTGAGATAATGAAAAACTGAGTGTCAAATTTGAAAGAACATACAATTGAAATGACAAAATCATCTTTTTTGATCAAAATCGGTTCAGAGACGGCTGAAATATCCATAAATATAACGATTTATAATATTTGTTTACCACCACAAATATTCGATAATTTGAAAAAGCCGTAGAAAAAAACGAAATATCGCCTTTTACGTTGTACTTCAGCCAGTGCCGATGCTGGCTTTTTGTATGACTTTTTCGTGTTGGTCCTTTTAAGCCCAACCAGCAGGCTCATGTATTGTTATTATTAATTAATTAATTAATTAACGGTCACCTTTTTTTTTTAAAGTGAAGCTGAATAGGTAGATCGTATTGGCTTAATTTCACACATTTTGGGGTCTAAAATTACCTTCATAGCAATGTTAGGTCCTCAAAGGGCACTAGAAATGTCATAGATAAGAATAAGATCAATAACCATGCACTTTGAATGCAATTGCGGTCTGAAAATAGAACTCAACTATCCTTTAATGAATATAATGAATGGACTCCAATACTTGGACTCCAGTCGGTATACATTACGTTTTGCTTCCGGGTGTCAAGAACAACGTTTCTTTAAAGCGACACTGTACTACTTATAGCTACACATGTAATTGCTCCCTCTATATAGAAAACTTCCCCAATCGGTGCCTGTTGGTCCCCCATGATCCTCTTTTTCTTATGTTAATTGAGAGCTGAGTTAATAAGATAGCCACCTGTCAGTGACCTCGCTGGGTGGTCTAGTCCCTTCTAGCTGAACTAGTAAAGCCGGCCTTTAAACAGTATGCATAACATTTGTATATGTTATTAAACCGGTCTATGCGGGCAACACGCCATGAGATTGTCAGAATCAAATCGGCCAGGGCCCTGTTTCATAAAACTTATTTTCAATAACAAATGCTAAATTTCGATGGCAAATTTGCCGTCAGCCAATCAAATGCCACGATTTCAGTAGCTTTTAGCAAATATTGTAACTTGTTACTGATAACAAGTTTTATGAAACAGGACCAAGATTCTGGTGTCGTGGACGAGTGGATATGTCACCGGACTGTGGATCACAAGGTCCGCAGTTCGAGTCACATCGAGGCACTAATGTCCTTTGTCAAGACATTGATCTACATTTGCAACTCTCCACCCAGGTGTTAAATGGGTACCCGGTAGGATGCGCAAGCTAATGTGCTTAGATTAGCAAGTGTGCGCTCGTAAAAATGACGCCTGGCTGGAATGCTCCTCAGAAAGTCGAGAATCGTAAGCCTGAATCCGATGACCGAGGTATTAATATATATCTCTGTAAAGCGCTTTGAGAATGCGTTCGGTCCTGAAAAGCGCTATATAAGAACTAGCTTTTACATTTATTATTATGCAGGAAGAGAATTTGAAGGATATAGAGCTTTTAAGTGACAATTGTAGTGTATTGTATTATAAACATTACGTACCAGAACCCCATTCGCACTTGCACATGCACTTTCACTGCACCCACTTGATCAATTTCGCATGTACAATTATATAATTTAAGAGTTTGCCGCTATTCTCTCCATCGATTTCAAGCTTACCGCTCATAATGGCGGTCTGCTGAATTTTCTGTTATTTATCTTTTTTTCATTGAAATTATATTTGTGTTTGTATGCATCTTATTCAATGTACTTAAAAATGTATAATTATGAAAAATGAAGAAACATTTGTTACTTTATGTATATGATTATGTTTCATTTTAAAAATGCAGAAATAAAAACAAACAAACAAACAATGCTTTGAATATATTTGTTTTTAATACACTTTGACGTGAAATAGTAAAATAACCTTCACTCAGATATGCTAAGATTTGGAGGATTCTTCACTGTCTAAAATGACAATTGCTATAGTAACAGCGGTGTGACCGCCGAGGTACTGAAATCCAAAAAGGCTTTTGCCCAAATATACGGGCGTTCTCAATGACGCCCAAGTGAATAAACAGCCAATCAGCTAACTCCAGGGAGCTCCGACGCCGACGCCGGCATCGGCGCCAGCGAGCTTGTACCAAAGGTGGTATGACGAATTTCAACGCGAACGGCTCTTCGGCGAGTTTTTGTTTTCGATTATTGTTTCTTAGCTTTAACAACATGAATATGGAATATGAATATAACTTGAAGTGTTTTAAAACTTGATGATAAATTGTTGAAATATGATAAAAAGCCGTTTTGTGGCTTGGTCGAGACAAGTTGTGCTAGTCGTGTAGCCCGTCTGTTCTGTATTGCGTGGCAGGGAATAGGCCATTTTCGTTTTTATCAAATTTAATACATAAATCATTGTGAAGTTTCTCAATACAAATTATTTCATTCACCTGATAAGAATAATAGTATTTCAATAGTCAGAATGCAAACTGCATGTATTAAGTGTGGCAACAACTTATGTATGCAGATTGGATTCTGTCTATTGAAATAATATTATTCTTATCAGGTGAATGAAATAGTTTGTATCGAGGTACTTGATTCACTTGGGGCGTCATTGAGAGCGCCCGTAGATTTGGCCAAAACCCGTTCTGGATTCCAGTACCTCAGCGGTCAACCCGCTGTTACTAAAGTAACTTCTCGATTTTTCACACGAACCGCATATTCTCCGTCCGCGTTGAGCTTGCGAAACCCCCTATCGTCGGGTAGTGCCGGACAACTTTCGGTTTTGCTCCATCACGCAAAATGACTCAATTTTTGTCAATATTTATGACCCGGGAGAGTATTTAAGAAGTGCTTAATTCCAAAAGGAGATAAATCCATTTTTGTAACTTGAGAGAAAAACGCATTAGTTTACCAGATTTTGTACAGGCGTCTACAAAAAAGTGATATTAGAAAGTGCATTTTTTCATAATTGCTCCCAAAATTTATGTAAATGCTCTTGTTGAAAGATGGGTACTGAAGTAGACAATGTTCTGGTATCAATAACTTAATTTTCATCAAAAGTGGATTTAGCTCCTTTTGGAATTAATATCTTCATTATTTTACTTTCTAAAAGACCTTTAATAATAAAGTGTCCATAATATATTTTCGAGTATGGAGGAAAAACAGTAATTAGTGATATTTTCTACACGACAAACGGGAGATATTTTTCTACACAACAAACGGATGAGTTGTCCATGACTACGCCACGGTCCACTGACAAATCGACACATTCAAAGCATAGTCTCATATTTTATAATAATTCATAAGTATCTCATGATTGGTATGATTTATTTAAATTTTCGCCGTTCTGTTTCTCACATTTTTCTGCTTTCATAAAAATTAACTTATTACAAAGATTGGGTTGCTATTTCAACCGAACACGAGTTCTACAAGCAACGCAACAGGTATTGAAAGCGCCCTCAAGTTGATTGATTTACATTTACATTGTAATTAACTGCATTACATTTTCTAGCATATTTTTGTTAAGTTTTAATTCATTGATGTATTTGTTTTGTAAAGCGCTTTGATCAGTTGTAAACTGGATATAGCGCTATAAAAGAAACAATTTATTATTGAAAGCTTTTTGCGATCATTCAATTAATATTTGAGGTTCATTTAGTAGTAAAATTTCGGAATGAAAACGTTTGATATTACTAGGAAATTAAACGGTTTAATCTTTTGTATTTTTATGGCAAAGTGATATACAGTTGACATTGAAATTAAATTGTGAATTGATGTCTCTTACCTGCCTCTCTCTATCAAGATAGAGATGACGAAAGAAAGAACCAACGCGACTACTTTCATCGCCATCTTGGAAGGTGTGCAGTCTCCTTGGAGGCTTGCAGCGAAAAGGGAACTGGTCCTCTTCCTTCGAGAAATTCTACAACAATGGGATCCTCTTTCCAAGCTCAGGTCTTCCGTGGGTACATACCTCTTATCGTTTTCCAACCAACGTACAAAACGTGATGCAACGTTGAAGTATCATCATTCATTACCATATGGCGACATGTCAAAGACTCCTCCAGTTTCTTTGTTCTTTAACATAATCATAATTTTGTTGTAGTTTTATCTGTCAACTATAGCGTCATCTATCTTTGAAATTTCAAATAAATCCTTCAAACAATAGCGTATCCGATAGATGGCGGAACAAGGGTTCGCCCCCTAAAAGATAGACAGATGACACACAGATTTTAACTACAATGGTACTGTATATTGTTTGACTCGATCATTTTTGAAAGGGAAACTGTGAAACATTTTTTTCAAAAACGTTTCATTTTTCTCTGTCAGAAATTGTGATTGATGTTCTACGGGAGATTTGGATTAAAAATTTAATCAATATTCCGCAAAAACTATCAGTTTACAACTTATATGTATTTTATAAAAAAGTTCCTTGTCCTGTTATTATGATAATAATAATACGTATTATAATAACAATAATGATTATTATAATTTGATCTACTCGGGGAAGCCTCATCAGTAGTGTTTTTCCTGAGGGTCCTGCAATTATCATTATCCTAGCAATGTCCAGGTGTCCATTACACGTGGGCGGAGAGTGGCAAATGTTGATTAATGCCTTGCCAAAATACATGAGTGCTGGGCTGGGATTCGAATCATCAACCCTTGAATTAAGAGTCAAGTGAATGAACCACTATACCACGACACCTCCATTCAAGAGAAGGTTGGGTTCTTGTAAAGAGGAAAGAAATAGAATACTCTGTGAACGTTATTTCGTTTTATGTCCGTTTTATGCCCTCAGATTCGAGAAATTACAAGAAATATCCCGATATTTTGTCGCAAACACCTTTGTGTAGTTCCATGTACCCATTTATGAATGCAGTGCATTTGCTAGTCCGGAAGACTATAAGGTCAATATCTTTACAATGTTGTTATGAGCTATCATATTCACCCTTTCCCCATTGTTCCGGGCAATATAAATGCATGACCGGTTCTCACCCTTTAACTTTAACATTGACACAAATACAGCCACAGTACTAGATCGAGACGGGTTCCATAGGAGGGGCAAATATAAGCCTATACGGACGGAGGTTGATCTAACCGAGCTTACTGCAACACGACCTCAATTTAGTTACAGGCTCAAACTCTTTCGAGTCGTAACGCAAAATGGCGGGTCTGAAATATCAGACTATAAAGACTTGACTACCATACTGTGTTGTTATGTACCTGTTCCTGACGGAATTAATTTGAAAAATAAGGATTTTCACTTTCGTCATGTTCTATTAATACAAATGATCTCATTTTATTTGTTATGTCGTGTACGTTAACTATGGAATCAATTGATATCGTGTAAATGTTTCTATTTAAAGAGAAAATAAATCAGCGAAATCTGATCAATTACGTTTAAATCTCAGAATAAAGTGTGCTGCATAATGATTCCGTAATAAGAAATAAGCTTTTAAAGTTAAGTATATATTTTTTAACAATCTACTCATTCAACTTTAGTTCATTAATTTGAGGTTAGTTGATATGAATGTTTTATATACTGTATTTTACATTTGTAAAACATTGCCCAATTCGGCCTTGTAGGCCGCGATGCATTGTTGTTCTTTTATTATCAATAAAACCATTATCTATCTATCTATCTATCTATCTAAAAATGTGGTAAAATTGTTAAAGACGAAAATAGGAGGGAGGGGGGGGGGGGGGACATGAAGAGATCATGAAGAAAGAAGCGTGTTTATCCCCTGAGCCCCCCCCCCCTCCCCTCCCCTCCCTTATACATTGGTCCTATAGCAGGCATATGCATCCAGAGGGTGATATCAAGCCAATTCGCGATCGAACCCTGTATTCCAACCATTTATCAAATATTGCCAAAAAGATGGAGGCATTTTCGATAGACTTTTGGGGTCACGTGGTTTGATTAAAGGACAGTCGATTCTTGTTAGAGTACTAATTGAAAACAAATCTTCCTTTTCTCCTTTATTTCTTCTTCTTATTTGTCTACTTCTCTTTCTTTTTTGTTTCTTCTTCTTCTCCTTCTTCTTCTTCCTCTTCTTCTTCTTCTTCTTCTTCTTCTTCTTCTTCTTCTTCTTCTTCTCCTTCTCCTTCTCCTTCTTCTTCTTCTACTTCTTCGTCTTCCTTTTCTTGTTTTTTTCCCTCGTTCTTCTTCTTAATCTTCATCGGATTCTAATTCTTCTTCTCCTTCGTATTTGTTTTCTTCTTTTATTACCTCTTCATCCTTCTTCTCCTTCTCCTTCTTCTTCTTCTTCTTCTTCTTCTTCTCCTTCTCTTTCTCCTTCTCCTTCTCCTTCTCCTTCTTTTTCTTCTTCTTCTCCTTCTCCTTCTCCTTCTTCTTCTTCTCCTTCTCCTTCTCCTTCTTCTTCTTCTGCTCCTTCTTCTTCTTCTTCTTCTTCTTCTTCTTCTTCTTCTTCTTCTTCTCCTTCTTCTTCTTCTTCTCCTTCTCCTTCTTCTTCTCCTTCTTCTCCTTCTTCTACTTCTGGCACTGAATGCCAGTTGTAGGTCCCAGTCCACGCTGATTCGCGGTTTTAAAAAAAGACACGCGTTGAAAAGCTGATCACAAGGGATCCTGATGTCACTTCATAAATCTTACCATCGTAACTTATGGCTCGATCAAGAGGTAAACTAACCAATTCATCACACATGTTTACAAAATATGATACTTCATA